ACCAATTCCTGCTAAATCTTCCATGAATGTCTTCAATCCCGTCACAGAGAATAATTCTACCGCAAAGCGAAGAAAAGATGGTACCATGGAATACAGCGACAAATTAAGTCGAGAGCCAAAAATTGCCAACTTAGGCGGTCGCGAACGAGCAAAAAGTTGGGCATCAACTACTTCAACTGATGTTTCCAGCCGAAATGGTCGTCAGAGTGAGATGAGTGGTGCTTCGGATACAGGCGCAATTTCTGATGATGGTTGTGTCACACCGCCGCTGCGCATTGTGGAAGAAACTGCAGCTGAGATAGCGAGCTCACGTGAAAATAGAAAAGCGAACGATAAATCGAGACAAACCCGACTAGAAAAAGAGTCGGATTCATGGATTCGATATCTCATCAAGGAGGTTAGTTTTTAGAAGAAAACAATTTTATAAATTTGAAACATTCCAGTTGACTTCATTCCTACCATCTATGCAGGACGACCAGAAGATAAAAATTGCGTGTAGTTTGCAAAGGTAATACATTTACTGCATCTCGTAGTCAAAAATTTCTTTCTGAAACCTAAATAAGAGATATTTCAAACGATCTTTGGCACAATCAATTCCGAAATAAACTAACTTCCACAACTACGAGCAAGGCCAAAATTTACTTGGGGATTTAGATAATTGTCTAATTAGTGTGGTGAATATCTGGTATTATTAGGTGTAATCTTACATTACCTATCTTCTAAATGTAGTTAGTTGCGCGCCTTCTACTACATACTTCACTGTAACGCAGCAGACATCTTAAGTCTAGTAAAGAGAGGGTGAGAGGGAGAGAGAAGTTAAGATAATTCGTGCATTCTAATCTACCATTTTCATATAGCCAAAGACAATAAGCAAAAATTGTGTCAAAATCTCCGAAAGCTGTTAGATTTAAATTAAGAGAAATAACTTAGAGTCAGGCAATATTATAATCTTGCCTTTCCTAAATTTCACCTGATTTCCCTCTCTCCGCTCTAAATAGATATGGAAATTTTGAAAAAGTGGATTGATTATGACTGAGCGGTTGAGAACTTTTCACTTTTCTTTCTTTTTCCACTGATAGTGTTTTTACCGCGCTCTTTTGGGGATTTTTCGCAACCGGCGCTGTTGTTTGCCATTGCGCGTCCCTTTAGTTGGAAGCGGTGTAATATAATTTACCATACAATCGTTCGCCTTACTCTACAGTTAATTTGCAGTTGATTTAATAACCTTGTAGGTAGAGGATTATATGTGTTTGCCATGCATACAAACGAAAAGAAGAACGATCTTATCTACTTCAGTTAGATTATTAAAGCGGTAGGCCAAGATTGGTACAGATATTTATTGGCTGACGTTAACGT